AATATTATGTGAGAGCATTCACCATGAATGAAGTCAAACAGCTGTATAACAAGAAAAGTGTTAGATAGGAACCCGCAGGGTAAAAGATCAAGGGGAAAACCACGTGGAACCTAGAGAAGAATCACGGAAATGGGTGTACAGAAAAGTGGGAAGACATGGAGTGACATCAATCAAGTGACTAGCCCAGGATAAGGAAAGGTGGAAAGTGTTTGTTCGTGGCCTATATCGTGATGTAGGGTGAGAAAGTGTTTGTCCGTAGCCTATATCGTGATTTAGGGTGAGAAAGGCAATGATCATAATTCCCCACGAATAAGCTTTACACGGTGCACTCACTCAGAGATGGGATGTAGATATCTCTGTGTTGACTTCTAATTTTTAGTTTAGTTTTAGTAGAGGTTTTACAGCTTAAGTTCATAAGAACGCCAGAAGAATAGAGGCGTTACAAGTGAGTAACAAACATAAAAAAGAAAAGGGGAGATAAGGACGATGAAAGTTTGATAGGAAAGAAGGAGCAAACCACACCAGAGCACCCGCCACCCACCCACTTTCTGTTTTTTTGCACCGCCTCCATTGGTGCGAATTGTATTATGTGTAGACACTTCTTCTCCGGGTTCCACGTGATCTTCCCCTTGATCTTTTACCCTGTGGGTTCCTATCTAACACTTTTCTTGTTATACAGCTGTTTGACTTCACATGGTGAATGCTCTCACATAATATTATGTTTTACAACAAAGCCAAGAGAATGAGCAAACTCATATTTTCGTTAAGAACAAAAAATCTTCATATAGGTGTGCATATAAATCAAATATCATTCTCTCGAACCAATTTCTTATGGAATCAGTTCCTTTTTCAAAGGAATCTCATAAAAGACAAATACAAGAGGATTGATTAGTACTCCCACTTCTGTGTTCCTTTTTGGACAACTTTATTATTTAGCAAGAAAAGAACCGAATTTCCAACTGGTGTATGCTAGATCAAATACCCCCGAGAAAGGAGGAGGGTATAAACATTAATTCTACCTCAAACTCAAAATCATCTAAATTCGAGAACACATCCTGAAGAATTGGGCACACAGTGCGGAAAGAAGCATTGGAGAATATTGTAACAACAGGCATGTTTGATGGAAAGAGAGGCAGAGGCAGACAGAGGGGAAAAGATACTGGACAAGATGACAACATGGTTGGGAACAGCAAGAACGACAGACACCATCGCTGCAACGCAAGACAGAGTGAAGTGGAGGTCCATGATCGCTCACGCTAGTCGGCAAGGCACTGGATGATGATGATTCTAAAGAAATTCACTTATGACTGAGTGATTTCAGTATAATAACATTATGTCAAGCTTAAATGCTTCTATTGTTGAATGTTAAAACCGGTCTCAATAGTTACAAGATAAGATAAATCTTTATTGTCCATATCCTGGTACATGGGTTAGGTTTTTCACCACGTACACGCACACACAGGGGGCTCTTGTGGCCTAGAGGTTAAGCCTCTCATTAAAAGGTCCTGGGTTCGAATCCAGGTTGCAACGGAAAAATTTTTCTGCGCTAAAATTTTCTCCTTTTATTCCTATCCTGAACTCTAGCTATGTTCTGTCGTCTGCTTTCGTCTCTACTTTCTGCTCCCTCGAGTCCCCCTCACCTCCTTAGCCCCCTCCTCTGGGCTCGTGACTCTTTCTGCAGCCTTTCTACTGCTTCTCCGTGGCTCGTTCTTACTGCTGTTTTTCAGCCACACCTCTGATCTTCTGGTAGGAAAAATCTCCACCTAGCCTTCTCAAACAAGGGCGAAAAATCTAGGACAGCCTGTGTGTGCAAGTTGCACACGTTAAAGATCCCTTGGTCGTCTAAAATCGATAAGTGAAAACTTCGATCACTACCCGGGCAAAATTCAAAATGTCCTATTTGATGTGTCCCGCGCGCTCCTATGACCTTATGTAGTGCGAGCGCCGTATAACACGTACCCCCCAAAAAAAACAAAAAACAAACAAACAACAACAACACAACAACAAACAAACAAACAAAACACACACACACACACACACACACACACACACACACACACACACACACCGGCGCGCGCGCGCAACTGTTCAGCACACTCATACATGCACGCATGTGCCCTGCATAATCCTTCCTTTTTCACTCAAAAGAAAAACATAATAACAAGACTGTTTTTTATGAGGAGGAAACTCTTGGTTTAACAAGCACAATATACGAAATGAAAAAGCCCCAATCTCTTGTCTTTGGGTCCTTGGCTCTAGTTTCTTCTCGTCGTAGAGAGATAATAATTCCAGATGAGAAAGAAATACATAAGTACAAATCAGGATAAATGCGCACACCAACAATAACGTTCAATAAAAATAGAACCGTAATATCCTCCTCCAATTCAGTAACTATGAAAAAGAACGAATTCATTTTGGGGAGCAGCAACTAACTGAGAATGCCCTTATATAAAATACACATTCTAATTATAGCTAACCTATCAGTAATTTCATAGCTGTTTTCTATGACACTGGGTAATAACGATAATAATACTAAATAATAATATAATAGGAAGAAGAATAGCCAGAATAATGATGAAGAGGGAGGAAGAAAGTGAGTAGAAGAGCTATTGCATGCATTGACAAAGAAAGGAACAATTTAGGGGAACGGCCACCCACAGAACAGAAAGAGCGATACATTGTATTTAATTATGAGGATGGGAACACGAGAAAGTGATCATCGATTGACGCTGAAGCAGATTACAGACTTCAGACCTGATTGATGTTATAAAGGAAAAGATAAGAGGCTCAGAGTATTCTATCCAGGAATTTTTAGGTAAAAAATGATAACAGGTGCCACTCAATGTATTTGTTGGAATGAATTGGAAAGAAATACATTATTATGACTCAAAGTAAGATTGCTCGATGGCAGATCGTCTTTGGAACTATAATCTTATCAAAAAGAGTATAAAAAAATAACAATCTAAAACAAGAACAAAAACAATATACTTCTGTTGTTTCAGTGAATTGTATAAGAGATCGTTGTAGAACAAGATCTAACAAAGCGAATCGATCCGGCTTGCAGGCTTCTAGTCACAAACGCATGATTATTATAATAATTTCAATAACAAATGTCTTGGCTAGAATAGCAAACTGAATTTTTTTAAAAGTCAACTCAAAAACCCTACGAAGCTGGCTCGTCCTTGTCATTGACTGAACTGAGACGTGTTCACCAAATTAAATATATTCGAAATTACATTGGCCTACAAGGAATTTGCTTCGGGCTTAAAACCAGTGTTGATTCTGTTTTACTATTTTGAGGGCGTTGAATTCGAAAATGATACTCGTATTTAATGTTTAAGTCTAGTATTTTAGATGAAGCTTGAGGTCGATGTTCTTTACGTCATATAATATACTATTTTGAGGGTGTTGAATTCGAAAATGATACTCGTATTTAATGTTTAAGTCTAGTATTTTAGATGAAGCTTGAGGTCGATGTTCTTTACGTCATATAATATACAGACAGAGGATTGATAGGAAAAGTGATTGTGGTCTGAACAATAATTACTTTGCGATACAATTGTCATGCTGAAAGAGGCATCACTTTGTAAGTAGTATAATACAACCGTTTCCTCCGTTGCTTCATTGTGACTATTTAGATTTCACTCAGCAAACAGAGGGTTTCAGAACCAGAAGCAACTCATTTTATTTAAAACGACAATTATAACATAGTCGTTATGCTCCATCGTTGTGTAAACAGTACTGACAATCTCTGTTCTGCTTGCGGCGAAATGCTACACAGAGGAAAACGATATAAAACTGTGACAGGCCTATCGGCATATTTTAAATGTATAGTTGGTGGCAAAGATAAAAGGTGGGTTCTTCACGTATGCTGTTATGTGCCTGTGCCACACACCTTAATCACCAGTGGTGGAAAAGAAAACGAAGATCAATGCCCTTTGTAGTGCAGACGTTTTGGCATGGAATAAGCAAATATTCAGATGACTGCTACCTCGGTATCGTACAACCACTAATAAAAGGACTTAAATGAAACCGGAAGAGTCAAGTTGTTTATCATGACATTCCAGGCTTAATGAGAAACGGCATCCCAGCAGATATACATGGCTATGAGATAACAACATTTCCATGCGGCCGTCAAACTCACGTCTCCTGCAAGCAAATTTTAGTTCTACTAAGGTTTTTACGGCGCTCGCAAATGCATAAGGTCATAAGAGCGGCAAGGGGTGGATGTCAACAGAGACGTCCAAACTCGGAATCAAGCTTACTCTGCTCACTTCTCTAACGTGAACAGTACAAAGTCGGCCTCGACTGTCAAGGCACCCGGGAAATAGCAGTTCAGAAGAGAGTGACAAACTTGCAAAAGAAGTAGAAGAAAAATGACGATAGTAAGTTTGAGGAAAGAAAAATCAGCAGTTCCCCCTATGTTTTTCCCGCGCAGTATAAGCATGCTATTGATAAATAAGCCAGTTTACAATTCTACAGTACATAAG